TGGCTGGAGAGCCAATTCCATTTTTTGCCGTGCATTTATACCATCCTTGGTCGCCGAGTCTCGCGGAATCAAAATAAAGTTCACTTCTACGTCCGACATTTTTTTCGTGATTCCAAGATATAGTCGGTACTGGATTTCCAATCGTACGACAGTAGAGGGATACCTTTTTACCCACCTGAACTGTCTGATTGCTAGATATATCTGTTATCTGGGCAGGATCTGTTGAGAAGCAGAAGTTCAAGATTTTCTTTTTCTATGTTGTGATAAGTACTTACAAGGAATTTGTTGACGTGAATTAGCCGGGCACCTTCAGTTACCGTGTTACTTACAGTTTACATCAATCATGCAGAATTCCGTGCTGTTGTTTCCAATTCCATTCCAAGCAAGGCACTCGTATATGCCAGAGTCACTGCGTTTGATGTCTTTTAAAAACAGTACTCCACTGTTTGAAAGTGTCCTTCTTGTATCCGCTCTGTTCCATGCAACACTTGGCAATGGGTCGCCGGTAAAATTACATAGAAGTTTGACAGTATGACCTTCCGTAACTGCACCAGGGCATTGCTTTGATGTTTTACTTGGCTGAACTACAAGAAAAATAGAAAAACAAAATCAGAGGAGAAGCTCATCAGCTTTTCGGATTGGCCTTCTGAACAGCAGGGGAAATCATAAAGGAGCTGAGGAATACGGATGTAATTACAAGAAGAAACGTCTAACCACAGCCTTTTATTTGGGTACAAGATGAGAAAAAGGAGAACGAGAAAGAAGAAAAAAAATACAGTTCGATTGTTAGTTCTCGTAATGTCATCATAACAAAAAGTCAAAGTCTCCAACTAAGAAAATGAAATAAAATTAACCACTTCTCCTCAATTTTATCTGCATTTGTTGAACTAATTATCCTATAAATTGTCGGCTGTAGGGGTCTATATAACCCTTTCGTATCTTATGTTTATTACAAATCGGCACAAGCTAAAGATACTCTCCAAATCTAAGAGCACGTTACAGCTACTGAATATACTTTGAACAGAATACGAAATCAAAAGACACGATAGAGACATAAGAAAATTCTAAATGTCGTAACTATGAATAAAAATACTACTAAGACACTTCTCCGCTGAAATTAATGTTTTTTGTCCATATTTTAGTCCACAGAATGTATAGCACAATAAGATTTGATACAGGTTTGTTTAAACTGATCTTTAGAAGATCTTGGAGCTCGAAACCCGACGCAATAACAAATATTAATAAGGAGATAAAATACCACTAAAATAATACTGCAATAATAAAAATGACAATTATTATTTTTATAATAATAATAATTATTATTATTATTATTATTATTATTATCATTATTGTAGTAATCATTAATTCATAATTTGATCATAGGGTGTTGTCTACCAGCTCATATAGCGAATCACCTTCTATGATAAATAATTCACCCAAGTGATGCTAGGCTGAAGATTTTTTTTCGGCTTGAAGCAAAAGCTTCTCCTGTGCAGTGGCAAGGAGACAAAATAAGTATAGTCTATGTCATTTTGGTAGAAAAAGTAAAAAAAAAAAAAATGCCCAAGGTCATGTGATTCAAGTTTAGCCTCTTAGGCGGTCTGAAGTAACATTGAAGTCCGGTCATTTTTTACTTGAAAAAAATGTTAGAGATTGAAAGAAATTTTAGTAAGCTCTCCACGGCATTATCGTAAAGTGGGATAGACATTGATTATAATTAACCAACTCGGCGCAATGTGCATCGTTGACTATTTATAATCTCAAATCCTACGCGCGCTCATGGAATAATGAAGTTAAACAAAAAAGGCACAACAAGTAAGAGAAATCGGATGCTGGTAGAACCTACTTACGAAAATTGAATGCTACTCGTAGTCGAGCTAAGTTGTTATGGTGGTTGCGATGCCTTGACATACTAGAAGGAAAGAATTTAAGTTATTTCACATTATATAATGCCTTTGCGGTTTTAATTAAGGGAGCGATTTCGTGATAAAGTAGCATAACCCCAAAAATTGCCCTGCAAATTACTTCCACTACATTTTTGGTTATGGAAATATCACTAGCTTTCAGGGATAGAATGTTCTTTCATAAAAAGTAAAATTAATCGGCTTTCCAGTGGAAAAGCCCAAGTTGAAAATTCCACTGTGGTCCTCGCCTATCTTCCAAAAATAAAGCGGTAAGTTTCTAAAGAAACTGTGTTGCTGCGTTGGTGGGAGAGTATAACAGGTAATTTAGTGTTAGCCACCGTAAGGGTTAAAAACTTCCGAAGTTTCGGCGCAGGCGCTGTTTGTCAGGCACCGACCATCTAAATAAAGGTCCTCCGATGAAACGATTTATGGTTACTGGTTCAAATCGAACCAGAAAGACTTCTTCTGTCGGTAAGGACAAAGTCAATAAATAAGAATTTTGTAAATTGAAAATTACGACCATTTTTGTTTTTTATAATCATGATTCAACGCATTTTTCCATCTTAAAAGTTAGCGCCAACGCACTTTACGATTGTTATTTGGGGATTGTCGATTCATTTATTTTCACTCATCAATGTAGTCGGCTTTTCTTGTCAGTAAAGGGCTATTGTGTTTATATAATAAACAAAGTAATACATGGTTGCCGGTAGATATGGAATTTCTCTTCTCGTGTTTACTCGACAGCTCGAAGAAAAAAATCCATATCCATGCGCGCCCATGTATTATTCTCTAATTATCAAAACCACGTCTTACAGTCGCTTGTTGACGTTTTAGCGCGACGATCTTTGCTTACTGAGATTTTTCTTCATTAAATCAATCAGTGAATGACCTCCTATGGCTCGTGTTTCACATCAAAATCGTAAAAAATCGACACGATTCACAACACTGTTGGGTTTGCCTCTTTAATACTAGTTTTTTTTCAACGATGCTAAGAATAAACTCTAAAAAGAAGGTGAAATCAGAAAATCCCACGATGTTTTCGGTTTCACTTCTTAAGACTGCTTCGAAAGCTGGCAAAAAATCACTTACTTTCAAGGTCTTAGTGTCGTTACTTGTTTTCTTGTCACTCCGTTACTCGTCACTGCGCTACTCTGTTTAGTGACATCCCCCTCATCAGAGGGGAGGCCCAAGTGAAGGCCACTCCGGCCTTTTGTTCGTTTGTTTGATCTTTTCAATTTTGCAGAGAGCAAACACTTTCGTGTTTTGATAATACAGTATTTAAAAAGGATTAAAATACTTTGTTGATTCCTTTCTTTTTATGTGTATCTCATTTTTTCTCTTTTTATTTGTTTCCATAGAATATATAAGATATTCGTTAACTCTTAGAAAGTTCTCAAATTTCATTTACGCACCAAACGATATCTGAACGTAAAAACCGCAAAGATTCTGAGAATTACCTTTCCGAGAAAGAAAGAGCTGTTGTGTAGCTATTTCTTGTAATTTACCGAAAGTAAACTCCATAAAAGTATCTCAGTGCACTTTTCTTTTTGTTTTCCTTTCACCTTTTTGCGAAATGATTCTACAGATTTAAGTTCCTGAGAAAAAGGAGCAGGCGACCTTTCAAAACAATTCAAGGCCGGCGAAGATCCTGGTGGACATCAGTTTAAGCGTGACTCTTACGTCAACTGTAGACTGCACACATAAGCTCTGATTCTGTTCTCGCTATTCCTGTTATCCGTAGTTAGACGGTGTACAATCTAACTTTAAATATACACAAACAGCTATGAGCAGACAGCAAAAGGTTTTTTAATTCTTTTTTCCGTTTGCTCTTAATGTCATTTTTCGACTCGAAAAGGCAGTTCTCAACTATTGTTTACAATCGCATGACATGCATCAAAGCTAAGTATTAAATTGATTCGTTTGCACTTGATTAAGCACAATGCGGTTTACTTACATAGGACTCTGATCTTCACATCTTTGTCGATTTCAAGCAGATCCTGGTTGGCTATCTGAAGGCGATATGTGGCACTGTCTGATCGTTGCACAGCAACAAGTGTAACCAAAGCTTGATCATTTGAAATGTTAAAAATAAATCGATCGCGAAAGGCTGAATCCACATCGACAGAGCTGTTAGACGATGACTTTAGAGCTATCAGCTTCTCTGATCGGCCATCACCGATTCGGAAAAACTTGGCAAATGTCAGTGAACCATCAATCTTGTAGCTCCATTGTAGATTAAGATTCTCATTTTCGATGACAGAGGTTGGATTTGGAGGAGAGGAAATCCATACAGACTGTAGCTCTAGGGAAATTCGAACGATGCAAGTTAGGCTAAATTAAGAAAATTAATTTAAGAAATTCCTAAAGAATGAAATGCATTATAAGTTTTATTGCAGGACAAATGTACGCTTCCGCACTATAGCAGATAAAAGTGAAATCAGCGAGCTGACGCCGCATTACGCCACGTGGCAAACAATATTGTTGGGCATTTTGCCGAGCATATCTCGCCTAACAACTGACTAGCGTCAGGGACAAATAGTGGAATGAAAGTAAGAATTATTATACATGTGCAATCAAACTAAGTGAGGTCAAATTAAGGCCGAGTAAAAGGAGAGAGCATAATTTTGAAACATTCATTGAAGATCGATGATGTCGAAGAAGCCTGTTTAATAATTAATTTAACGTTGAATCTCAATTAAGTAGCTTTGAAGTCTTGTCATTTCCCCGGAGTATATTTCACAGGCATTTAGGCCTTGCTCGAAAAAACAGAAACTGTACACTTCGTCAAAGTAAGGAAGTAGCTAAGAACCTTAACAGAAACAATCTCCACCAACTTGCCTGCTTTTTCCAAAGTTGTTAGTATCCACAAAAGTAGTGTACATAACGATGGTTTTGCTCTCAAACTCCCAAGGAAGCATCCCATCCTTGGCTTTTTCTGTCCCTGTATGAGCAAAATGTTGAACAGATGATGATGTCTTCAATATCGACGTGCCTTGAACATTCCTTAGGGATTCAGTTTACGAAAGCGAAACATAAACTGACTCTCTCGAAGACGCCCACAATTCCTTTCGAACCGAGGCAGGGCGGAAAAAAATAAAAGGAAACTGATAGCACAAGTATGAGTCGTGACGAATCAGGCTGTACTTCGAGATCTGCGGAGCTATCCAGATAATTTCTCTCGTGAGAAATTTAGACCACAACTTGCGTATTCCTTGAGGCACGTTCGCTGGTAATCGGAGACTGATGCTTGTTTTACAGATCAGTGTCTTGAAGTTAGAAACTGAAAGGTCACCTTTTGGGTAATACACAAAAATTCATTTCTGTTTTAGTTAGCGATTCGTTTACAAGGCCATCTTTTTATGATCTCGCTACTTTTTCATGGATGGAATTCAGTTCATGGCCATGTTGCTTTTTCCAGCTCTGGCAGGTAAGCAAAGCAGACAAAGAAGTTTACTAACATAGATGTCGAGTGACGGTTTCCTATATTCAGATCATTTTCGTTCCTACTGCTTAAATTCTTAATTACATTCTATTTACCATGAAATTTAAAAGATCTTTTCATCTAAAACAAACGTAAAATCGTAATTAATTTAAATAATTTATCGCTTGGTGAACTGCTTAGAGTAACCGGAAACTTCACAGTGCAACTGGTCTATCGATCGAGAAGGCATTTCCAAATTATCTGGATTGACACAAGTAGAAAACTAAGCCGGAAACGCCATGATCAAACATAAACAAAAGCTAGGAATCTAAAGTTTTTACTTTAGCTTTATTTAGCTAAATCAAAATCTCATTTAAAACTTCTAACGAATCACTCTTTAACATTGAAGATTAAAATTTAATATTTTGCGAATATTGAGGAAACTACATACCAAATAATATGTTGTCAGTAAATTTAATTTCCAATTATTTCGTTCAAACCAAAAATGTAAAAACGAAAAATGCCTTTATTGTAGAATGAGCAGTTTCAGTTTTTTGACCATTTACTTAGAATGAATCTTTTTGCTACCTTCGGCTGATTGAAAATGTTGTTGGGTCGCAATGATGGGAGAAACTAGCTGTAGAACGCACCGCATTTATCGAATGGTACCAATGACTCTCGACCTGTCCCTTTTAGCCTTCTTTAATCTCTATTCTCTAATACAATACCGATTACAGTGCATTCATTTCAGTCTTCTATTTAACTACTCTGACTTTGACCGAATGATCGACCTTGTTTCACTCTTAGTTTTTTTCGGGAAACTCTAATCGACCTACCTCAGCCCCGATCGATTACCCTCTTGTAAGTGTCAAATATATAGAACTCGCTAATATACTCACTATCAGTAAGCAAAGTCATTTGGGCATGCTGCCTATTGAATGAGTTGCCAGTAATCGGATCCTTGTGCTTGCGCAAAGATTTCTGAGATCGCCACGGGGCAAACATTGCAATTCACTAGAAAGAAATTTATGGCGCAAGGTTGTTTCGACGTCCAAAATAACAATTTTGGTGAAGATCATCGCTTTTTGCCGCTATTTTATCAGAAATAGCTGTAGGCAATATTGATATAGGGGTAGTGAAAAACCGTGAAATATGTAGTAAAATCTAGCGATGAACTTGAACAAGGATTTTGTGAAACTGACATCGCACAATGATCTCGATCTTTGGAAATATTGGTGATAAATCGCCAAGAAATAACTAAATGAAGCCTTGTCAGTTTTATTTACTTGTGTTAAGTCTAACTCTAGCTTTTTTCTTGGTTTGGCATGACAAAAAACCAAAACAAAAAAAAACGCCACAACAGCTACCTCGAAGCAGCAGGAGATCGAAATTGTGTGCTTGAGCATGAAATGTTATCGTGATCTATTGAGTTGTTAAACACCTACACTGCCTCTTTGTTATGATCAATGAGAGCGAACTAGCGTTGATAATCGGCTAAAAACTGAACCTTTTCTTATGCGACGATGAATAGGTACAAATAGGTCGCTTGAGGAGCGATGCACAACTGAATATATATACGTCCAAAATTTCTACCGGAGTTCCCGTGATCTTGCTTTTCCTGACAAGATCCTTCGAGGAGTTCGCGGAGTAAAGTGGCAGCTCAAAAACCTTGGGATTTCTCTCGGAAAATTGTCACTTGACCTAGGGATTTCATTTTGTTGTTTATCGGTTCTCTCCTTTGAGGAGGTATATTTCAGACATCGCAATATGTTTATTTAATACGTTAACAAGTATAACAACAGGCTGTACATACAAAAATAAACTGAAAAGTCCTAAGTGGGTCATATCCGTGCGATCACTTAAGGCTAATTTTATAATATGTCGTAACCATTACGCGATGACGATTTCAAAATTATATTATAGACTTTACGAAAGGAGAGAAGTTAATCGGTATTTTATAACATATTTAGTGTCAGTGCTAACAAACTCCATTTATAATAAAACTGCGGCGAAAAAGCGTTAATCTCTCTCCAAAATCGTTTTTTTGAACGTCGAAACAACCTTTCGCCTTATATTTCTTTCCAGCAACTTGCAATATTTGCCCCGTGGCGATCCCAGAAATTTTTGGCATACAAGGATCCGATTACTGGCAACTCATTCATTGACCTTGGGAAATTATACGTTTGATGTAACATTTCTCCCAACGCTTTTACAAGAAACTGACAAATGAACAGTAACGTACTTGACACTTCCGATCAAACAATCAATCTTTCACTGGCAAAGCCAAAACAAGAACTTCAGTGTGGGTCTAGGCAAGTACAGTAGGTAAACTCAGCACTTTCACTTATGGAAGTTAGACAAGCAGTCACGATTAAGAATCTCACCGCCTTCTCTTAAACCCAAATAAATACCGTCTTCGAATTCAAATAGTAAATAAATAGAGAATAATACATGGGCGCGCGTAGATATGGAATTTCTCTTCGAGTTGAACACGAGAAGATAAATTCCATATCTACAAGCAACCATGTATTATTTTGTTTATCATATAAACGCAATAGCCCTTTTACGGGAAGACAAGCCGACTTCATCAATGAATGAAAATAAATCGACAATCCTTGAATAACAATCGTAGAGTGCGTTAGCGCTGACTCTTAAGATGGAAAAGGGCGTTGAATCTTATTACAAAATCAACAATGGTCGTAATTTTCAATTTACAAAATTCTCATTTATTGACTTTGTCCTTACCGAAAGAAGAATTCTTTCAGGTAAACGGTCAAAATCGGCCAGAGGCAAATCTTCCAGTTGTCGATTTTCATTCTCAGCCGTCAGAAATGCTAACGCCAAAGCCACTGAATACGCAACTTTCGGTTTGTCTTTTACTATATTGGTTTTCTACCCCTTCTAGGAAAGTTTAAATATCATTGTCCGTCAACGATACGGATTTTTTTTAGTGTCTTAGATGAATGTTAAAACGAATGCAAGGAGAAAGCCTGCAGAAGTACATACAAACGAATGGTTTTGGTTTTTTTGTCTACCAAAACATCGTGTAGCAATCTTTAATGATTAGCCGTCTAATGTAATGAGTATGTAATCAAACATGGCAAAACTTCCCGAAAATGTTTCAAAAATTATCGTGACTTCTTTTAACACTGAGCGAAAATATGAAGACTCAAAGAAAATATAATGCACCTACAAGACTTGACTCCAGTGAAGCAACTCGAACAATTCTCTGTACCATAAACTTGCGGCTTGCTTTGATGAGACTCCTCAAACATTTTGTATGAAATGATAAACTTTTACATTTTTTAAATTTTTTCCTTTTAAAAAGGAGCCTTACCAACTTGGACCGTTCAACCCGTGAACTTCACTTCTGTTGTTCAGGGAAAGAACATAACCCTCGCGTGGGAGTATAATGTTGATGGAAAGTTTGCACAAGCTCAATTTTCCGATTTGAAGAAAGCTGGGAAAGAGAAAACGGTTGCTGTTAAGTCTTCAGCGAATGGAAACGTAGTCGTTGCCTCTGATTACCAGGAAAAATTCATTGTGCGTATATCAGCCTCACAAACACTAGTAACAATTCTCAGAGCACAGAAAGCTGACATTGGAAAGTACAAGCTGCAGGTGATAAACCGGAAATTGGAAACAATAAACAGCGTGGTGGAGGTTTCAGTTCATTGTAAGTACTATTGATGCACAGACACGGGAAAGACTAATAAAAAGATGGACAGACACACACACATCTTGAAAGACATGCAAACACACCGCCCAACAGTTAAACAGACAACTTGTTGGAGTTGAGGTACTTGTTGGGCCCCAGACCTCCGATGATCTACTTCTGAGCTACAGAAAACTTGGCCATCACTAAGTTCGTTGGTGACACGTGACCAGCAAAGTGCTATGATCAGCATTGTCAAAAACGTTGTGCGAGTGAAGGGATTAAGAATAGAGATGAATTTTTAGATTATGATGTTTGGTCAAAATCAACTAGAATAGGCTTCCGCGGTGTCTGCAAACGATTTTAACCTAATAAATACAATATTCTTCATCACTGATTCGTTTGGAATTCCAAAAGGAAAGAGAGGCTTGAAAATCTACCATTTGTTTTCATTCTCAGATCTACCAACCAACACTGTTCTCTCAGTATTTCCAGACAGCAGCGAAGTGTTTGGAGGAAGTGTCTTATATGAGAAATGCAGCACAGATGCCAGACCTGATCCTCACATTTTTCTCTTATATTTCAATGGAAATTTTATCAGTAACAGTAGCTCAGGGGAGTTTAATGTCACAGTTTACAGCGATGGAGTATACACATGTGCTCCCATTAACACAGTTGGTTCGGGAGACAATGCATCGTTTAGCGTCACTATTTTTGGTAAGAATCCATCAGCATTGTTGATAGGCTTTCTTAATGAAATCTACATAATGCACCAATTACAGCTTTACTCCACATTGCAGTATGTCTGGTAAGTGATAGAGCAAATGTGACTTGAAAGTGTGGTTCATGTTAAAATGTGGCACGAATCCAGTGTGCCTCTAGCATTCGTATCTTATTTGGGCGTCTCCTGTCTTCTCTTGAGCAACAAGCAGTCTATGCTACCTTGTGCTTTCAAATCGTCGGTAAAAGCCATTTAAAATTTGTCTCAGTTAGCCTGTAAAACACTTTGTAATAACTTTCCATTTTCACCAAAACCAGGCAAGGCTACGATAGGTTTGGAACCCAGAAACGTCACAGCATTGGTAGGTGAGGCCACATCGCTGAAGTGCCTTGCTCATGGGAATCCTCCGCCAACTATTACGTGGGCTCGTCATGGCATTGGAAATGGTTCAGAGCTCTTTTTTCCTTCAGCGAAGTTCTCTGACAGTGGGTGGTACAGATGCGTAGCTACAAATGCTTATGGAGTCTCTTTTAGTCCACTTGCATACCTCGATGTAACCGGTAAGGTACTTGACCCTTCTTGCGGCAGAATTAAAATCGTTAAATTTTAAGCGGTTTTAAACAATTTGATCGGCTCTTTTTACTCCTTAGACAGTGCCAGTACCTTCATAAATGGAAGAATGACAATATTAAATGAAAATTTTGATAATGGCTTGGAAAATCCTTCAAGCGCAAGATATCAAACCCTTAAGAGGCAGTTTGTTGAGGCGGTAGGTGTTTGAATTATTGATTTTATTGTTAACCCTTTCACTCCCAAGATTGTATTTAGAATTCTCCTAACTACCTGCCATACAATAATTATGATGTTAGTTCTAAGAATTTGGTATTGGATCAATTAATAAAACCCTAACTTATATTTTTCTATATTCTCGTCACTCATCTGCTTGATATTGTGGTGATATTGTGAGGAGAAATTCTGTCTTGGTCACAGATGGGAGTTGAAGGGTTAAACAACGGGCTGCGGTGTCAGGTTTTGAGTCCTCTCATAATGGCATCATTACAATGATTATTGGTGCGAACACAATCTCAATTGAATAACATCTCAAAGGCTCTTTTTTCTTCCAGTCTCTTTTGAGGGATTACTTTGAACCGAGTGAGGGAAACTTAGATAAAAGATGAGACGAGGAGGGCTTTTTTTTAAGTAGTGGTAGATGAAAGGGAGTAACATGATTATTTTGCTTCATGGGAATTTACTTATTTAGCGGGAAGCTTCTGGAAAAAAATGCTTCACATTAGACTCTACAGGAAATTACAACTATGCCACAAATCAATTTCGTAGCCTGAGGTTATCCTAAGTTAGCGGAGACAAAACTTCTAGCGCCAACGATGTTTCATCTTCAAGGAAAAACTCTGCCGAACTCAACGATGAGTCGCGTTTCCAAAAGCATAGCCAAAACTACGCGAGATGTTGCTGTTGAACTCAGACACGTACTGTTGCTTTGTAGTATTCCAATAGTGGTGTTTGAGTTCTTTCATGAAAAGTTTTAATAACAGTTCATATTCATAATTTAGGTAAGGGAAGTTTTCAAGAGTGACAGTACCTTCCATAGCACGGATGTCACAAGATTTGAGTAAGAGGCAATTGAACGAATTTAAGTAGCCAAACCACCCATTACCACCTCATGTGATGGCATTCATATATTCATCCATCCATTAATTCCTTCCTTAATTTATCCATCCCTTACTCCCTTCAACTATCCACTCATTTACCCACCCATTAATCCTTCCCTCCCACCCTCCGTCTGTCCTTGCCTAGTTCCCACCTTTCATTCATTCATTCATTGATTCAACTATCCATAAATCCATTCATCCATCCTTCCTGTCTTACATCCATTAATCCATCCATCGATCTTTCCCTTCCTTAATCTATCACTTCTTGCCTCTTTTCATCCATCCATCCACCCATCCATTTCGACATCGATCCAGTCTTGTCAGTCAGACTCAAGTTTGATCATATTCTAATTCCGTTTGATGACGTTTTCATCTGCAGAAAAGGAAGTGTGATCATTCTTTTCGCGCTAACTTTCAAAGAAGTAGTTCGAACAGACAGAAAAATCACTATTTTAAAAAATGCTGCCACTGACGGAAGAATTGGTGTCTTAGATGTTGATCCAGTCTCCGTCATGGCTATCCGTGAAACTAAAGAACCTGCCACCAGTAATTTAGGATGCAGGCCGTCAAGCTCACCAGAGAGCTCAGGTATTTTTTTCTGCCCGTTTGTAGAGTACTGTGGGACGAGGAAAAGTTTATAATCTCACTGAAAGGTTGAAATGAAACTAAGATCAGTGCTATAGAACTTTTCCGAAATATTTTAAAGGTGGTACGTTCTTAGGTAGGCGAAGCTTGTTGAAAACGTCTCTAAAAGCATATAGGGTAAATGAATTTTTAAAAAATAATAATAAAATAACAAGGTTCTCCGCTGAAACTTACGTACTTTCCTTCAGTGTAATCTCTGACATCAATGAGAAATAATCCTGTGGCAAATAGATGGTTACTTAGCTCGTGTGATAAACTAGTTTAAAAAGGCCTTGCTTCCTGAGGTAGCTGGTAAAGGCTAACAGGGCGGTTTTAGCGTAGTAAGTGTGAAAGATTTCTATTAGAGACGTTTATACTCCTATGGCAGATAATCGAGCCTGGTAAGCTTTAAAAAATAATCAGCGATTTTCTGATTTGCTCCGCAGCTTGCTCAAGTGACAATAAAATATTTGGAGCAGTGATAGGAGTTCTTGTTTTCGTAATCATTGGCCTGCTTATTTTTATATTCTTCCTGCAAAGAAGATCAGGTAACTGTAACATAAATTGTAGCTGAACAGATAACAAACTAAACTGGGAAGATTCCATGACAGTGAACTTGAAAACAGTGTGGAGTCCCATTGTTTTTCTAACGATGTCATGTGAACAGCGACACCTACTCTGTATACTGCTTGTCTTCTTTAGGCGATAAGGCCGAGAGGTAAAGGGTCATCCCATAATAAGCATCTTCCACTGCCGTTTTTACTTGGTTTCACGTGACGTTAGTCATGTCTTAGTCGAACGTGTCTCATTCACACACGCCCTTTAGTTGAAGGCGGCAACGAAGTTGTCCAGAGGCCGAACTATAATACGAAACCAAGATCGCCCACTCATTATCTGAATGTCTGTTGAAAACTAACCAATCATCTCGGAGCTTCATGTTTCCTATGAGGTGACTCATATCCATCCAAAATGTTCGCCTGATGAAGAATAACAGTACACCTCGAAATTAAGCATCGCAATCCATATCAGATCGCACTTCACAGTGTAGCATAAACGATTACACTTTCCAGTATAACCAAATCTAAAGAAGCAGCATGTAGGACTTTAAATTGTTTCTACATTGCCTTTCCTTCGTTTTTTGTTAAAAGATACTACAACCTAGCGGTGTTTGCCCCATAATTCCCAGAATGGTTAAACTTCTGTTATAGTTAAAGGATGGACACCACTTTTTAACCAAAACTGCGTCCAATTTAAAGTTGGAGTCTTAGTTTTCACTTAAATTCAGGTTTAATGTTCATATGGTATTTTGGTTGAATTTTCGACATTCTTCACAGCCGCAGAATTTCTATCAGCTGAACAAACAAAAAAGAAAAGTTCAATATAGATTTATTATTTGTTGTTATAGTAAGTTTCGTTTCTTCATTTAGGAATTGAATCCAAGCAAAAGTAAGTAAAAACTTTCCCGCAATTATTGTTTCTAAGCTGCCGATGATCTTTCGTATTTTTTTAACAATGTTTGGTTCACCTTTGTAACCATGTAAGACTTCAATATAAGCCTTTTCAGATAAATTATGAGCCTTCCACACTACATTTCTCCTTAATACGATGCACAAAAATATAACGCAACTGATTTACTTGGAGTAAGTATTAAATGTTTATTACAAAACATTTGGTAAAAGAAAAACAATATTTATCAAAAAAGCTAGTCTTATTCGACAGAAATCGATGTATCAGGAAGGTGTACCTTTGTCTCTACTTTCTTTCAAGGAGATGTGAAATGGTCAGAGAGGAGACTCAGCCCAGACCTCTTAGCGTAAGTTGAATATCACGGCTGTATCTAACTTCGGATCAAATTTAAAGAATCTCTGTCTTTCATATTTCCTGCTTACAAGTTGCCTTCTATCACCGGTCGTTGCTGTGGATATTACCGACCAGAGCATAGTTGAAGAGACTACTATCGGCAGAAAATTTTTCTTGAAAATTTTTCTTGAAAATTTGTTGAGGAGGGATTGTGACAAATTGAAATTCTGTGTAGAAACGATGTCTTGGTTATAACTGCTTAGTGAACTCCTGCAACAATTAAATACTTTGTATATCAACATTTTTCAATTTTCCATAGAAACACTTCCATTTTTCTCGCACAGTTAAGCCTAATTTTCCTAAAACGTGCCTAAAACCCGACATGAAGGTGTCAATTATAATACTGCATAAGCCCTGTTTTTACATTTTAGATTCTTTGAAACAGCTTTAAAGGCCCTACTTATGAAAAACTTTGAAAACACACAATTACCCAGGGTGGATTCAACTACCTAACATCGTGTTATCAACCTCTTTAATAATGTTGTTCTTCTTTTCCTTTGAAGTATGAAATTTCCATGTCTAGACTTGAACAAGTTGTAATGCAGACAAACCGCGTAACCGTAGAAGGATCTTTGGCAGAAACATCGGAAACAGAGGTTGATACAGAACTGATAGATACTGGAATCGCTGGATACGAGTCGGCCTTGCCGGTCACCAACTCCTCTTGGAAAGTTCCACAAGAAAATGTGTCTGTAAGAGAAACAATAGGCAAGGGAGCCTTTTCTCAGGTGGCCAGGGGAACAGTTAAAAATCTCCAAGGGGCTTCTGAAGTGACAGTGGTTGCAGTTAAAATGCTGAAAGGTAAAAACTATCACTGTTTGAATCTATGGACATTTCTCTAGATGGCTTAGACGCATCCACCGCCTTTCTACACCACCTTTACATGCATTCCTTTCGGGAATGTCATTCAAGCCTATCATGTAAACTTCAAGTCGATGGCTTTTGTTTAGTCGCCATGTAGGGCCTAAGATTTGTTTTCCATAGAGCCAGAATACTTTCTTCAATTTTTATTCGAAAGACTTGTTTCCTCTAAAGCCAGGAGACAACTCCTACCGCGGAAACAGACCTCAAGAGCAGAAGATAAACGGAAAAGAACAAACAAGCGAGTGTTGAAATGTGACAACTTCTAACCGCAAAGCAAATGTCTGACAAATAAATTTTTAACCTCATTTTCTATAAAATAGAAAAAAAGGAACCAGCGTATTTAATGGTAGGTTAAGAATGATTGATCTTAAGTTTTAAGACAATATTTGACTAGCATCAACAGTTTAGTATACGCTCGACTGCAAAAGCGTTGACATTTAAAGAGGGTTTACAATAAACGATGAGACCTCACGGCTTTATGGGCCAAATGTAAATAATAGCCACCACTAGATACCCGTGGCGAATGATAACAGCTATCCAGGCTTTCGTAGATGAAAATAATTATCATGGAAAAAAGAGATTTCGCATAAAAAAAGGAGAAAAGAGAATCACTTATTATGTATCTGTGCGAAAATTTCCCATAAAGCCATAAAGTTGGGTCTCATTACATTTAGGGGGGAAATATTTTTACAATCGAGTATACTTTTTATCCGGCTTACTCCCACATTTTTTCTACTTTTGAATAACAGAAAACGCTCCTACCTCTGATAGGAAGGATCTGCTGTCAGAGCTTGACCTAATGAAGCAACTCAAACCTCATCCATACGTCATCAAACTACTAGGATTTGTTGCTGGTAACGTATAAAAAAATTGAAAAAAAATTGAAATAAATAAAGTAAAAAGAAAAAAGTCTCATAGTGCAAGACAGACGAAAAATTCACAAAGAGTTAAATTTTAAAACGCATTTTTTCCATTGACAGAACCGTTATTGGTGTTGACTGAGTATGTTCCATTTGGAGACCTGCTCGGTTATTTACGAAAAAGCCGAGGACTAAACGACAGTTACTACAGCAACCCGAAGTTCACAGCAGAAACCAGTTTGACGGCGGATAAACTGATGAAGTTTGCTTGGCAGATTGCCGATGGAATGAGCTACTTGTCCACTAAATGTGTAAGTTAGTTCACAGGCTGTCGTCAGTTCACTCTGCTATCTAATACTCCTTTAGTAGAACCGCGCCAAGTCATTTCTTCGGATTTGACCCCATTTTTCCAGTCCTGCATTTGACGGCAATTGAAGCACTTGCTAATGTAAGATTTGACATCAAAATCAGTCACCCTCTTTTCCCGGTAAATAAAAAAGCTGTCTCAAACCAGTTGCTGCATTGGCTGTTTCATGATTTATCATAAGGATGTACAGAAAATGTGTAAGCATTGTAATTATGCATGCTATCTCAAATCAAGCATTTGGCTTTTCTATATCTTTCGGAGCAGATAATTCATCGAGACCTGGCAGCACGCAACGTGTTGGTTGGAGAAAATGAGACCTGTAAAGTGACGGACTTTGGAATGGCCAGAGATGTGCAGCAAGACAGCATATACGAAATGAAAACTACGGTACAATAAATTATCATGTGATTCGTTTATTGTACAACATAAAGTCGGCTTAAATCCAGGATAACCTAACTTACACGGAAACACTATCACGTTTTATAACATAGCTAGCAGAGCCGCGCAATCAAATTCAGTATACGTAAGCGTGCTCAAAATCCCGATAGTGCACGCTGATAGCGTGAGCAAATCGCTTCGCCAGAAATTTTTTTTTTCTCGCACGAGCGGCCATTGTTAGCGCGGGGAAAAATAATATATTTCGTGACAATAATGGATACCAACAGAGACTCGGCCCACCAGTCCCAAAACGAAGACAATTTTCCGACCATTTCCCTTGGGCTAGAGTTCTTAAATGAGGCAGAAAAAGAGAAAAACAACGGAAAAGGAGACTCGGCATCAGCACCGTCACGATTCGCTTCACTGTCCGAGGGTGAAATGCAACACATTTTGACAGAAAGACACTCTGGTAAAGCCAAACAAATGACAAACTGGTCTGTTTCAACCTTCAAAGGTAATCTTAAATTTTTCCGTTTTAAGTAAAATAAAACTCGAGCTTTCAACTGAAAATTTGAAATAAAACCAATTCCTAGTTTGCTTAATATTTCGCTTACCTCGAACAATCACTTCTGATATTACTGTCCGTTTTTCGCGTCGGATTTGATGCACAATTCCACCGGCTATGTTATAAAACAATTGGTTCATGCTTTTAGCTGTGCTCTCTTACTCCCAAAGAGATGATTTCCATCTTTCTTTTTTTCTTTTTTTATATACTGGTCAACAGTACAAATATGCATGCATTGCATTTAACAATTGGTTCATGCTTTAGCGTGCACTATCGAGTTATGGAGCACGTGGGAAGTTTGGAGAGCATTCATGAAGCTAGAGTTGCCCTCGGTTATTACCACGGGTAACTCTTACGCTTCCTTCGTGCTCTCCAAACTTCCCACGTGCTCCATAACTCGATAGTGCACGCTAAAGCATGAAACAATTGTTAAATGCAATGCATGTATATTTGTACTGTTGACCAGTATATAAAAAAGAAGAAAAGAAGATGGAGAGTAAGAGAGCCCCACCGTTATGTTGCTAGTGAAAACCTAGTGCCATGTGCTCATTGTTTTCCATATTATGATGACTGAGAATTTACGGGTTTAGATTAATTAACTCGAGCACCAGAATATTTATGGTATATTGTTTATATCGGCAAGCTAGTTTTTAACTGACGTCAATTTGTTACAGGTTATAGATAAATAACGGAGTACCTAGTTTTAAAAATCAAGATGAAGAAGTTAGAAGAAAGCCCCTGTTATGCTAAATTTTATCAATAGATGCTGACTTGTGAACATTGAAAAGAGTCATTCAACAAAATAAAAACAGCTTGTAAAGAAGAGAATGTAGAGGGTGGTTTTCCTGTAGCTTGTGGCTCGTGAAGTACGTAAAATTCACCTGAAACTCCTCAGCTGCTGCTTTTTAGAGAGCAGTTGACTCAAATTGCAAAAAGAGATACATGTTTATCATAACAATTTCATTAAACTTCAGGGGCGACTTCCTATCAAGTGGACTGCATACGAGTCGCTTTTCTATGGGACGTACACCACCAAGAGTGACGTGTAAGTATTGACTGATCAAAGTGCCAGTAACCCCACGCCTTAATAAATCAGTTTTACCGAAACAGCTTAAACGTGTAACGCTAAATTGGAATTTTACAGCGTTGGTAGTCCTTACTTGAACTCAAGTACTTAGAAATTTTTATTCTGATTTCAATCATAACATATGCGGTAAGAGAAGCGCAAAAATAACTTCTAACAAGATGGATACTTCTCTGTTACAAAAAAAAACTGGTACCACCAAGGTACAAGAATTATATCTGTCCCTTAAATGATTAGGGCTCTGCTCAGCGAAACTAAATATTCACACTTTTACAGGTGGAGTTACGGGATTGTCCTCTATGAAATCTTTACACTGGGTAAGATTTTTTAATGTGATTTCCTGTACCCTGGAAGTATTGTAAATAACACTTTATAGCCATCGAGAAGAGCCATCTTATCCCATCCGTACTAATTGCAATACAATTAATACTAGATAAAAAGGTATCGATAGTAGCCAAGGTTTTGATATCTCACTTTATAATCTACCAAATAGCTTTTCTCACGCGCGATTGGTTTAACGCATAACTTATTCGAATATGCCCCGAAAATGAAAAAGCGTTTAGCTATTGTTACTGAAGAAGGGAAATGTTTGTTTGTTCATTAAGCCGAACCAGACAAACACTGAAAGGTAAATATCCCACGCAACAGACAATAAGCTGTTCGTAACATTTTTACTAAGCATTGCGTAAACATTTTGAAAATGATAAACATAATAGCCTCCAATTGGCGCGAAAATATACTAGTACATTTGTCCTTCGATATTGTCTGGTCGTCATCATCATCATCATCATTTATTAGCCATTTGAGATACAATATTTATACCGGTTTAACAGTATGGTGGGGCGAAGTGACCTCCAAGAAACCACCAGGCTTTTAGGGTAGGCCACCTCGGTTGTCAATATGTCTATAATTAAGATGTGGATGTAGATGTGTGGCTTGGCCAATTCGGACTCATTTCATTAAAAAATTAATCATCTTTAAAAGTGAAAAGCTAGTCAAACCGGTAATCGATATTGAGAGAGAATTCCAGATTTTAGGACCTTGGTAGAGTACTGTAAATTGTTTAAGATTATTACGAAAGTCATGTGGTCGATAGCAATTGGCTATGTATCATAATTGCGTACTTGCTTATTTGCAGAGAACCAGCTGAGAAACATCGGGGGCAATGGTTGGTTATGATAAAACATAAATTCAGCTATTTGCAATACGTTGACTTGGGAAATATCTAAGATTCCCCGTTTAGGGAAATATGAGATAGTGTGTTCTCGATAGTCTTCGAACCTTACAGTTTTCCTTGAGCTCCACCCTCGGGAAACTGTTTACATATCTGAACGGATGATGTCCGTGGACAAAAATCCGCGCACATTTTCGCGTCAAATGGGGGCTATCGCTTACATTTGCTGTAATTTAGATTGCTTATCACTTTTAGGTGGATCGCCATATCCTGGTATGGAAGGAAAAACGGTTCCAGGTTGGCTCAAACTTGGATATAGGATGCCAAAGCCAGTACACATCGACGACAAATTGTATGAATTTCTTAAAATATTATTAGATTTTAGAACAGTTTATGTTCACCTCAACATAGCCTTGATACCCTCGTGGTGTCCTTTCTTTCGAAACTTCCTGGCGCTGATTAAAACGAGTACAATAGTTTATTTTGTTTCAACCCACGCTAACTTGTTTTCGATTATGTCAACATCTCCCTTTTCATGATGAGAACTAAGTACCGCTATAATCAAAGGATAGAAAACAAACCTCTTGTTTGTCTCAGATATCAAGTGATGTTAGAATGCTGGCAAATAGAAGCGAACGAAAGACCGACATTTTCTAACCTTACAAAGAAACTTAAAGTAATGGAAAACCAACACAAGGTATAAACTTCTACTCCAACAGTATTTTAGCTACAAAAACACTAGGTTAAAGCTATTTCAATTATGTTTACAATTTTTGAAATCTGGTTGATTCCTAAAAATGCTCATTAAGCCACCAAAAATGTTCCGTGTTTGTTACGAGCATTTGGCAATCAGACGACAGTTCATGTATGTACTACGTCCGATGCCATAACGTTGCTGTGGCGTCAACTAACTGGGATCAATGGACATTTTTTATCGAATTACAACATAATGTGGAGGGTAAAGTAAAATTACAGTAAGGGTTTAACGTTGAATCTTTCCCTCGTTATTATTTTTTTTTTAATTTTTTTTTTTTCATCATTTGCATTTTTAATTTTTCAGAAGCTAATCCAGATGGCGAAGTATGACAACACACTTTATGTGAATGTCGACGATTTAGTTGTCTAGTATTGAGACGAGACGTTCATTTCGAAAAGGGACAAAAGGAAAAAACTCAATTCATTAAAACACATGAGCAATTCAGTTTTGAAGCTCTTTAGATAACCTTTAGATAATCAATAGGAAAATCGTCTAATTAATGTCGTTTGTACAAATGATTTTCGTCAGATATTTCTTTTAAGATTGATTCAATACCTTTCTAACCTTTTCCACTTTTTACGACTCACTGATATTCTTCTTGTTAGCGTTCATTAACAGTATTAAGTTCGTAACAAGTTCATATACAATTTACAGCTGTTTCGAGAAAGTTTGTCGGAAAAAAGGGCAAAAGTGCACCCGACAATCTCGAATGGAAAGCTGGGTATCTTGTAGTCAATAAAATTGCTCAAACCGTGGTGCCTCGTCCTGACAGTGACGTCTCCGAATACATTAACATTAATGTTAGTCTGCTTTTCAATTTTATCATACTGTTTTACAGACACTGGAAATTCAATATCAAATTGAATATATAATAATAACAAAATCTAATTACATTAACTTTAAGTGAGCACTAACTCTGGAAAACAAACAGTTGCCTATACAGAAACTACTCTCGGGAAAAAATTTTAGTAGACTTAAAACACCTAAACATCCTTAATCTCTTTCAAAAGAAACCTCATTTTCTGTCATAGCAATACTCCGAACTGTGTTATAAATATTATTTTAATACGGTAAATCCGAAATGTACGAGAAAGAATAAAGTAGAGTAAAAGTATAGGGGCCTAAACTGCATTGAGATCATGCAGAAGGGAGCTTTTCGAGTTAACTAATGTTCCAGGTAAGAACTAAGAGAGCTATTAAACACAAATGGGAAGCGGAGGAATTCCTTGACAAAGTAATGGACAGGTTTTTTTGATTGACAATATTTCTTAACTCTTTCTTAAATTTTCTCAACTCTTAGTTCTCTGACTATCACACTGCCGACGACCCTTTTTATTTGCTTCCCTGATTTCGGTTATTCGCATTTTTATTCTCGACCCAGTTACCTCTCCTAGTTATTACATGGAACATTACGGATCCTCTTTAAAAAAAAAGAGTACGTCAAGACAGACTTGACAACCATCAAGTCTCCTGGGTCCATTTCATCCAGTTCGGAGAGTGGGACATTTGCGACGACTTCCCCTGCACTTATTTTCTTCGTCGTAAACACCTTCTCTTCGCAGGAATCAGGCATCAATACTATTCTTCAATACTATTCTATAGAAATGAAGCGCAAAGTAATTAATTAATTATCTGTGGTGAATCAATAAAGTGCTAATTCCATTTAAATTATTTCAAATTCAAAGTTCCAGTTTAAACTTGTAAAAATACGCAATTGATAGTTGTCGTAAATACATTTAGCGAAATGCAAGAACTTTGACTTGTTATCACCAACGATCATCTATCCTCTGCACCGCATTTCAGACTCAAGAGCTAAAATCTATCCCTAATTTTTGAATGATTCCCTAGCCTTTTTCCCATTACCATTGGCGCCACTGCGTACAACAAGCCCCAAGGACAGTCCCGCAGATCTTAGATGCGCCCTCCATTGTTTCCATTCGGGCAACTGTACTCGGTGCTAAACAGGTTTGGCCCTCTGATATAGCTCCATCTTCCTCCCCTCCAGCGGAAGGACAAAACACTTTTCTCTTCGAGAATCCAGTTTGGCTTGGTTTTCTGAAATGAAAACAAACGATCAGTACATATTCAAATCATTTCAATTTTTTTTCATTTTATTTTTTAATTCAAGTATCTCACCTGGAAATGCATCAGGCCCCGCAGACGCTGGACCTCTCCTTCCTGGAGAACAGTGTGGGTCAAGGCTGCATTTATCGTGTGCCGAGGCACATCCTTTTGCTTTACGATGGCAGTGCATCCAGGCACCATGCACTTGAGAGCTTTTCCTGAGCACTTGCCCAGATGCAGCGTCAAGTAGAGCCTTTAAAAGAAATAAAGTGGAGAATAGAGATGAGCTGGTAACTCCACCTTTCAATATTGTTGTTGGCCTTAAATAACCATTTACCATTTGACTGTTGGTTGTTAGCTTACCGTGGAAGGTTTGTTCCACAGCTTAGTGGACATGAAATTCTCACATTCAAACAAATAAAAGCAGCATGCTCTTCAAAGCATTCCCTATGCACCTTCCTTCCGCATTCCTGGCAAGGAACTTTCTGCTTTGCACAATGCGAAATGTGCGCTGCCATCCCCTCCCTAGCCAGTACCTTTCTGCAACCTTTATTTGCACACTGCATTTCAAATTTTCCACGTATTTTGAAGTGTTGTTCATGTGCGTGGAACTTTCCTGTCCACAGCCAACCGCTATTTTTACAATTAACATCAAAGTTTCCGATGATGTCGTCGAGTGCTATGTTGACGTGAAGAGCAGCGCCTTTCCCAATTGGTGCTTTGCAAAGTGGACATTTGAGGACATTCTCAATACCTACAAGTATCGCGAGGCAGTGACGACAGCCCAAATGCCCTCAAGCCGGAGCTACAGGCTTCACCATTGTCAATAAGCTTCAAAGTAAAAGATAAACGGTTACGTTACTGGAGCGGCAAACGTCAAAACGTCACTCTATAATCTCTTGTTCCCAAGAAACGCAAATATAGTTCTACAGTTAAAAATAACTTCTGCCTGATGAATGACCCGAATGCTGTTGGTTGTTCACCATAAACGTCGTGTTGAGCCTTTTTGTTTCAGCGATTTCTATTATAGAGGCTGCGTGGCTTTTTAGCTGTATTGCAGAAGGACAAAAATTATCCTAAGGCAACAAAAAGACTTACCACAGAGAAAAGTTGAATAGCGCGCCGGGAGAAGAAGAAAACTCAAAATGATCATCAGACATAGCGAATCTGACAGTGAATATAGCTGCAAAGTGATTGGATCCAAGCGAAATTTGCTTTTTAGTGAAATCACCAAAGACCAACTGATGAATAAACTATTATCATAACCATGGGACCTTCATATGTAATTTGTATTTCCTGGATAATTTGCCGCGTATTCATAAATAAAAATAAAAACTGATCTGACAGCAATCGACCCATGAAATGACAGTTTTTTATTATTATTATTTTTAATGAACTTTATTCTATACACATCAGTTACAAATGACAATACTTACAAAAAAATACTACAAATAGAAACGCACTTAACATACACTATTTACAAAAGGAATGGCTACTTACATTTACACTATCAACGGGAGAATTTATATTACTTACATGATCTTTGCTTGATACACATACACAAAAAAAAATAACTAATTGTACTTACGTCTATAAACTTATTCATTACAGAATTGCGCCCATTGAAAAACGTCGCACGGGAAAATGCAAATAAGCTAGAAAAGAGAAAGAGAGCATGCGTAACTTCACGCACTGTCAATCATGTGATTCCCCGTGTACGCAGTGTTCGCAAGTATTGTTTCTTGTGCAGACAACCGAAACGTAGCGCTTTTCATCGAAGAAGAATAGACGTAATTAGTGGCGTTATCTTGATTAGGTTATATTGTTTAAAAATCGGTCAGATGTAAAATTAAATTACCTTTCAAATGCCGGGTTTTCAATTTGTGTTAAGACTCAAATGCGGCAGATTTACGAGGTTCGACCATCAATTTCGCCAAGAAAGCAAAACATTACAGAAATATTCCTTTTAGTAAAATTTCCGTACTGCCCCATACTATCGTAAAACAAATCTGTTTTCCCAATGGTAATGTATTGTTTTTGTCACTCTATCCAAGAACTGAACGTATAATGTAGTATGGGGCTGTGCGGAATTTTACCTTCCTTTTTAGCCCGTTATTGCCGTCAGTTTCAGATAACACGTCGGTAGTCTATTTACTTTTCGAAAAGCTTAAGTATACGTTGTAGATTCCCGCTCCACGTAAGTGCACGCTCACTTCCAACTCAGCATAACCATAACAACACTTCGTTTGCACACGTGACCAAAACAAGCCAATGAGCAACCTCGTTCCGGGATCCTTTACAATCGTTGTTTGGTAGCCATAGCGACAGATAAACAAGTAGAAATCTTGGTTCGTTTAATTATCTCGCTCATTAATCGCGTGTACACGACGACGTAAACTGTGGCTTATGAAATCGGAAAAAAATACGAAAGTCTTCATGACGGTCGATGGTATATATGCACCATCTTAAGTCAAAAAGGCGACAGGTAGAAGGTTACCTTCGATGGTTGGAGCCGACAGTTTGACACAGTTCTCAGCGCCGACTGTCTTCGCCCCTGTACAATGATTGACGTTCGCTCCAGAAAGCGTTGGAGACCCAGCGTGAATTTCAAAAGTTGCTGCCAGGCGACGAAGTTTTCATCAGCATCGAGGGCATCAGAAAACCTTCCGTGGTCAGAGTGGCGGATCCTTTTCAAGAACTCGTTACAGTGGAGTGCGGAAACGATGTTACGACAAGAAATTAGTTTCTGATCATGAAATATAGCATAACCTAAATCGTAACCGTTCTACAGACCGCTGCATTGCACCACATGCGCCTGTCGACAAAGCTGCCAGAGGAGTCAGGTCTACTGCATGCTCTTCGACATTGGGTGGAATTCTTTCTTTTACTGCCCACTCAATGAAACTCGGCCTCACCACTGTCCATCCCCTTTGGATAACCAAATCAGTACTTAGCTTTGAGAAATCATTTTTGACCTCATCTTCTGAACACACTAGATAACATCTTTCATGCGGTAGGTTCTCTTTTGGCATTGAAATAACTCTGCCACCAATTTTTTTTCTACTTTCTCTTTAAATTTCTTCTGTGTTGATCCTAAAACCACACATACACATACATAATTAACATAAAATCAAATATATAGAACATTTTGCTGTTCTTGTTTATGCAAAAACTTAAAAAAAAAGATATGACATGTGATCAATATTATTATTGTAGGGGGTCTAGAGATATTTGTAAAATTGTTATTTTATGTATATATTTTTTTCTTGTTAATCAGAACTATTTTAATATTTCTGAATGTTTAGACATTTTAGAAATGTTCACCTACCAGGCATCCTTCCAACTATAACAAAGTTCATCCTCTTAAGTGGCAGCAATTGCCCAACCACACTTGCACCAGACACAGCCACTGGAGGATTTGGTCCGGTATGGAAAATTCTTCCACCTGTAGTTAAAAAAAAAAAACATACTGTAATTTTGTAATTGTGGTTTGACTTTGAGTTAGGGAAAATTGGTTTTAACCATGAAAGTAATTAAATATAGAAAATTGGATGGTGTTTTTACATGTTGTTGTGCATAATGCTCAAAGTCAGTCCTAATCTGTTCAGGGCAGTCATTTATTCTCTCCCTCAAGTTTCGGTATGACCAAGACAACAGCATAAGAATTGTGTCAGGCTTGTGAAGGCCACCATCTCGTGTTGAATGCTGGAAGCAAAGAGAAAGATTTTGTCAAGAATATGATAGTAAGGAACTAGACCCTACACTTGTCAATACTAGTAGTCATTTGTAAATGTTGGTTTTACATACCTGATGATAAAAACAAATATGCATGTAATGAGTCCGTTCTCCACCCTCAGTTGCTACATGCATGAGTGACTTGAATGGGGTGCTGCAGAGATGTTTTGGGACAACATTCACAAATTTCATCATGTAGGGAGTTACTTCTTTGCAGCCATAACGGAAAATCATCAAAGCATGGAACATATCGGCATGGTAAACATATCTGGAAATTTCAGAGTCATGTAATCCAAATTCACAGTCTTCAACATTTGTTGAACTACTTGGATGCCCTGGCTTTAGTTGAGCTGTATTTTTCCTCAGTATCCTATACATCTGATAGAAATGCCACCAAATAAACTTCACACAGTTAATGTCGTTAATCTTTTGTGATGTCATTCCAAGGGCCTCAGCAAGCTTTGGGGACAACATCTGCTGTAGTTCACAACTTGGAAGAACCTATGAATATAATACAGGAGCTTCATCACTGAGAGATATAATTGGAAAACTATTTTAAGTTATCACTAAGGGTATACATGTACATGTACAGCATGTGTTTTGTAGTAATTATGTTACTTGTTATAACTGAGTAACTTAACTGATCAGGTTTGATGATTTAAGTAAACACCAGAACTTCCATTATCCAAGATGTGATTGTAATGTTTGTCTTTGAAGTCCTCTGAGGGAGCTAGGATGGTGTAGGCTTGGGACTTATTGAGGCTGAGGTCACCTAGGTGACCTTTAAGATCAATTGGAAGTTCAAAATGACCTCCTCTGACATCTCTTGCATTTATGTTAGCATTAAGATGTGCCAATGCAGCATTCCTTCGCTCTCTACCATACCTATAGAAAAAGGTGACAATAATAATTTTCAATATTTAAAAGTAGGGACATGTGAGATAACACAGCGTATACAAATGAACATGATCTACAGTTGATCGAAAATTTTTTAAGGTTTTAATCATGAACGCAGACTGCCCAAACAGCACATGTTAACTAATACACCAACCTTGACTCCACATCAAGACATGTCCGGACAACCTTCATTATTAGATTTTCTGCAACTCTGGTGAAGCCATGGTCAATACACATAAGGATATGATCACCAGTAAGAGCAGGAAGCAGCGACTTGGGAAGAGGACGGTCAAATGAAAGGTTGAGGTCTGTTCTTAGTCCTGTGGATGGATCTACTTTTCCCTTTTCTGATGCTGAGCATTGCATCCTTAGGTTCCACTTGTCTTGGGAGAGTGGGCTGAGCCCTGGATCAGCAACAGCATCCAAGAACTTAGAGTCTGCACCAAGGAACACCTGGTGGCCCAGGTTCTGACTGTCTTTAATCCATTCATTAAAGTATCCTACAATATTAATGGACAAATGTTCTATAATAACACTAATTATCCTTAGAGATGTTGCAATTCCTCTTGTACCATTTCAGGGAGTTTTCAAGCACCACAAAAAGTTACAAAACTGAAATCAATTTTGTTGAACCATGTTATTTTTCTTGAATTGTTCAAATGATCAGCTTTTGAGTACTTCATTTCAATTTTAGGAAAATTTAACGGTGATTTGGTCAATTTATCAAAACTTAATATTGGATTATAAATGTTTAACATGTAAGTTTGCCTATACCTGGTCCACCATGACCATCTCCAATGTTAAGCTCAAGGTTTCGACGGCTGTCCTTGTGATGAAAAATTTGAATAGGCCACATTTCTTTTGGGCTTTGAAATTTTATTCCATTTAACTTCTGCTCATTGTTTACATTGCTGATAGCCATCATCACAGTGTCCTTCTTGCCATACTTTCTCCCATCACCATAAAGGTGCCACCACTGTTCTTTAGGAAGCCAATAGTAAAGGTAATGCAGACATTCGACCAAACGGGCTGGCTCAGTGCGATAACCAGTTGCTGTTCTTTGTGGTTGCATTATAGCCTCAAATTCTAATTTGTATTTGGTCTTTAGCTCAGCAACCTAAGGAAAAAAAAGGTTTGCAAATGTTATGAACAAAATTTTATTTTATTATTAATTTGAAGTATATCAGGAAAGATACATATAAATGCGAGACAATTACCTTTCTTTTGGTTGCAAGATATCCAGGTGGCAATATCTTCCTGATCTCATCAATTGTCTGTCCGGAATTGCATTGATCTTGAAGTTTCAAGATTGCTGATGGTGGGATTTGCACTGTTGCCTGCTCTTCTCCAATCTGATTGTAAAGACTGTCCCCAGTCTTTGTACGAATTAGCTTAGTCAACAAGTATCTCGTTTTTCCAGTTGTCCTTGCCAGGCTGAGTCAATGCTGCACTGCTGTCTAAATCTCCGGCCCACTGAAAACGAAATGCCATGCAGGAGGTCAATCTGTAATAAGAATATGCCAAAATTGTATTCCATCAACAATCTGGTCCTGTTTATTTGCTAAATTTTAATTTGTTCTTGACTTACTAACAACAATTTCAGAGAAACATCAAATGTTATTTTTCAATGTCAGGCACATTGGTAGAACATTCAAAAATACTTTGATGACTTCATCGATAAAACTCCCTACAAACCTTAGAACCATAATGAACTTCCAGTGCCAAGTCACTCAATATTTTGCTCTGCTTTTTTATCCTCTCCTCCAGTTTAGTAGATCGGGATGTTTGTCTATTTGCTAAACGTCCAGCCAGAGTTGATGTTGACTCTGGGGGCTTAATGCAGCCAATGAACACTTTAAGCTATGGTACATTAGTGCAACTGCCTTGTGTGGGAAAGGTTTCTGTTGCCAGCATCACATTTTGTGTTTTGCACAGACCCAGCTCCACTTCCAGCAGCAATTTCTCTTGAAAAAGTGGAATTTACCACAGTTCGGGCAAAGAACAAACATAGACTAGCCCATGAAAATTGTTCTGCACTTTGGCCAGGGTCTCTAAGTTTGTTCCCAGCAATTACAATAAAAAGTAAGGGCTTCAGCTGAAATAAAACTCCTGGAGTTTCTGCCCAGATAAATATCATTGTCTGTCAGCCCGTATTGTTTAAGCATTTCTTCTATTTGTTTATATGCTCCTTTTTTGCACTGTTTCTCATTAAAATAGCCAGAAGGACTAAGTCTCTTATGAGCATCCAGAAATATTTTTGAGCCAACTGTTTTAACTGGAGAAGACATGGGCCAACCAAAATCTGTGGCGTCCATTGAGTAGAAGTATTTCTGGATATAAATGTGAGAAAAATAATTACCAAAAAGCTTCAAAATATCTTTGATGGAAACACAACTAGGGAGAATAAAGAAACTTACCAGCTTTTCAGCAACTTTACTTCTTAAGATTTATGTCCAGTATAAGTTAAGGGAAAGCTTATTTCGAAAATGCGAGGTCTTCAAATTATCAGAACTAAACTAACAGAATAATGTATGGAAAACCAAAAGCAAAACTACAAACCATCGGCAGTCCGAATGTTTATTTACATTAGGTTAAAATGACACAATCCGATGGTGCGATCACATTTAGCGATCTCTCTTCGAGGAAAGCAATTTCGTTTATGTTCGTAGTAAACATTTATGGTCGAAAAAATTTAAAATCAAAAACATTCACTCACCTTGATAGAGCTCCAACGTGGACAGGATTGCTCGCGATCGCGTGCTTAGTAGAAGCTAACGGATCAACACTTCACGCTCTTTTGATATGCAAACGCGGCCCTCCCTCTTTACCGACGAAAAGAGCATTTCATCACTTTCAAACAATGCTAATTGCTCCAATTGTATCTCCATTGTCTCTAAACAGACGCAAAGCGAAATTTTACAACTCCCGTTTGGGAATTTGTCAATTTAGATCTAAAGCGACCGAAGTTGGCGGTGAGCGTTTGCAACCTCATTCCTAGGTCATTGCTCCCGCAAAGTATCATGGGTACCCCACTTTTCTCGGGCGCGATTCCGTAATGTTTCTTGTACTTACAATTACTTAACTTAATTCCTTACTAAAACAAAAGATTGATTAATTACATTACTTACGAAACATTGTCATAGGATATTATTTACTCTGTTCACCCTATTTAATTGATGCTATTTACACTATTGGTTTAAGGCTAGAGTAGCATTCACTAGTTATACTGTACAAATTATAGAAAATATTCAACGCGAAGTTTAGGAAGTAATTTGTTCATAAATTCATTAAAGTCACACTTTTTTTAATTAAGTTGGCGAAGAGTAAGCAATAGCTGAATTTAGGTAGTTTTTTTAGGTAGTTTTTTTTTCGAATTGTTTGTTTTGTTAAACCAGAAAATAACTTTATCAAAGAAGGACATAGCCTCTTCACAATCAACAAAGGAATGCATAATGGAGTCGGATTCATTACAATAAAGACTTTTACTGTCTCTTTCAACTACACAGGCATATAACTCTTTCCTGGTGACTAAGTTTATTTTCTTTGCATGTTTCGCTTATCTGAGTGAAGGCTAGGTTCCAATTAAAACTTTTCAGGTTAAGATCTTTTAGCCATTTCTTTTGACCGGTGGGTTCGATTTTGGTCGCATTAACGTACAGCTGGTAGTAATCTTTGCTATTAATTTTTTTTAAATCTGTGACAATGGAGTCAGAGACTTTGTAGGAAGTGCTACCTGAGAAATTATGCATGTCAACAGGAGATACGATTCTCACCTTCTCAAGTAGATATTTTGGTATCGCTGAAAGAAGTTGAAGATAATTTTAAAAATTACATTTCATGTTATATCTTTGTTGGAATGTTTGAAATGATAAGAACTTTCCATTACAATCGAGAAGATCCTGAATTGACAAGACCGCCTTTTCTGACCAATTTGAGTAAAATATTGAATTGCCATCGATTTTAATTTCCTTGTTGTTAAACAAAAGCAGGTCTGACAAGTAGTTGGGTCTGTATAGGGTCTTTAGTTCAATAAAGTTCATCAGCATTTGCCGGAAAAAAAGTGGAAGGCCGGATTTCGCTAAAAGCTTATTGTCATAGTTACAGAAAAGGAGAAAGTTGAAGCCGCTAAACTTTTCAAATAAGTCTCAGGCGAGTGTGGATCGACTGTCAAAAGTTTAAAGGTCCAAGCTAAATTTCAAGACTTAAACAGGATTTCGATGTTCGGAGCACATAAACCACCTTTGGAATAATCTCGGTACATAACATCCCATTTTATTTTGTCTTGTTTGTTATTCCAGATAAAATTGAAGATAGTACTCTTAATCGCGGGAATGTAGGTATTAGGAATTGTGAGCATCCAGGCCGTGTATATCAGATGAGAAATACCCAAACATTTCACAATGAGGCATTTACCAAGTAGGGACAGGCCACGGACCCTCCAAATATCCAATTTTGTTTTCATGTTGTCAATTTTCCGGTCTATTTTTTTCTTTTTGTTTTCTTTCTCATTACAAGAGATAAAAGTTCTCGGGGCTCTTACTGGATCAGCTGTCCACTTTGGTTCAAAGGCTTGGAGTTATTAAATCTCCAGGGGCCTACCCATATCGCTTTTGTCTTTTCCACATTTAGCGAAAGACCCGGGATACTCCTGAATTGATCAACCAGTATCATCGAGTTTTGTACCGAATTTAAGTTACTTAGCAATAGCGTGGTGTCATCTGCGAATTGACTGACCTTGTGTTCTGTCTGGAATAGCTTAATCCCCTCTAATTTGTTATCTTTCCTTATCTCAGGAGCCAATATTTCCACCCCTAAATAAATAGATACGGGGAGGGAGGGCAACCTTGTCTAACTCCCCTTGATACTTTAAAAAAAAATTATGTTGTGAATCCATTATTAACCAAGGTCCAAAGTTGAAAAGACTCAGAGTTTGCTGGATGAAGCTCCATTCTATTGTATCAAAGGCTTTCCTAAAGTCCAATAAAAGAAGTATACCGGGGATATCTTGTTGTTCCGTTTGTTCCATTATGTCATTAATTAATCTAATATTTTGCCAATGTATCTGTCTTTCATGAAGCCCGTCTGATGGTTGTTAATAACGTACGAAATAAATTTTTCTATTCTTAATGCGATGGCTTTTGATTCAATTTTAAAGTCTGCATTTAACAAAGGTATATGTCGCCAGTTTGATAACTCGCGTAAGTCGGAATTTTCTCTTTGGATCATTGTTATTACTCCCCTACGTTGAGAGATAGACATCTCACCATTTCCATACGCTGCCTTAAGGCTGTTTAGGAGATCATTTCCTACAATGTCGAAAAAACACTTATAAAACTCAACGGTAAATCCATCTTCACCTAGTGACTTTCCAGTCCCCATTAATTTTAGAGCTGCCCATCATTTGTGTAAGGTTAGTTTTCCTTCGATTTCATTACGTTGTTCTCTTAATACCTTTGGTATTTGTTGATTTATGTTGGTTGTAAACTCTTGGAAGTCCTCGTTTGTACCGTTATTGGTTGAAGTATACAGGTTTTCATAAAAAAAAGTTTTACTTCCTCCATAATTTGACTCTCATTGACAGTTACGTGGCCGTCAGCCATTCTGAGCTCAGAAATGACCTTCTTATTGAAATTCTTCTTTTCCAGATTAAATAAGTATTTTGTTAGCTTTTTGCCTTCCTGGATCCAGCATACTTTTGAGCGAAAAATTGCACCCTCGGCCCTTTTTTCATAGATACGAGGAAGACCAATTTTCAAATGTTCGTATTCTTTTTCCTCGGATTCTGAAGTTTCTTCACCACTGTAAATTTTCCCGTCGAGAGTTTCCAAGCGCTTCTCAAGCTCATTTTCAATTTCCCGTAATTCCCTAGCCCTGTTTTTAGCATAAGGGATAGTGATACCTCGAATTTCCATTTTGATGAGTTCTCACTTTAGCTTAGGGTCCTTGATATTTGAGTATTTTTGGATAATGTCAGGATAGCTGTCTGTTATCAAACGAACATAGGTTTTATCTTTCAATAACAAATTATTGAATTTCCAAAGGCCTGGACCGTGCTTGCTATTTATGAGGCTGAGGCGTAATTTAACAGCTTTATGGTCCAGGGATATTGAAGTCTTTGTATCCACTTCAGTGACTTGACAGGCGATAGATTTGGCAACCAAAAAAACTCAATCCGTGATTTTAACTTTTGTGCGACTGATTCATAAGTAAAGCTCTTTTTATTTGTATTTCAAGAAAGAGTGTAAGCGGCCGCCATCTTGTCCCACAAACATGCCAGCTGATCGTACGCGAAGCCAGTTCGTAACAAGAGATGGTTTTGCGTTGTGCGTGGGGAACATGCAATGCAGATGAGAGATATCCCGAACGACTAAATGAAGGACGATTTATTTTGTTCCCCAAGCCGAAGACGGAGCTACAAAAATGCAAGCGATAGATAAAAAACTGCGGAAGACCGCACGAACAGCTAAACTTGGAACGCGTAAACAAACATAAGGCAGTGTGCTCGTCAGTGTTTCGTTGAAATTGTAACTACGTCACAGTCAATTAATGAACTTAATTACTTTCCTAATTGTGATACACTTCAAGCAAGACAACCATTTGGTAACTATTCTGTTTTGTTCTATTTATATTTTACTGTAATTATTTTTCTGATATGCTTACTATGTGTAACTTATAGATTTCAAACAACGCTAACGAAGAATAAACAGCAGTTTGAAACTCGTGGTTTTGGATGCGTATCACAACAAAACAGTCAGTAAGTAAGCTCTTTTGCTTGTTTCTTGATACAGCATTCTCTACAATAGAAATTAATTACCTGGAATCTATGCCTTATCTTTAACAGCACTTTGTAGGTGGAAACGGACCAACTGAAAAATGACCAGATCCGGTTCCAGCCGACGGCAGCCCACCCGTTCCAGCACGAAA